TCAAAGACCTGAGTCTTAAGGGCCTTGACTATGATATGCACTCATTGCATAATGATATGCACTCATTGCATATATGGTCTCTCTATATCTCCCACTATAAAATCATTGGTGTCCTGGTGAGAGGAGAGAAGAGTTCTTGTCCACTTACCCAAGTCCTTGGCCTCTTTTCCCAGACTACCAAGGATGCTAATTGTAACTGATATTCAAAACGAGCTTCACTAAAACCATCTAATTATTGCAAAAAAAAGGTTGTCACACAGATGTTATATTTACAATGCAAGAAACAAATGTGCAGCCAACTGCATGACAAAATGCAGGTATTTTGAAGAAGAATGTATTGCATTTGATAGCTTTTCCAAGGCCACCAACAATTCATTTCTATCAATGGAAATTTTCCATTAGAAATGTCTCTGGGAGAGAGAGTAGTACAGGCATTCAGTTTACAACTGCCCCCTCTCCCCTGCAACTTGTCCGTCATCAAACCAGGGTGATCCTGGTCTGGGGGTAGTTGGTGGGTGGGGGGGAGGGACAGCGGCTGCGGCTGCTCCAGTCTTCTCATTTCCAAGGGGGCTAAAGCAGCAGGACAAAGCCTCCACACACTCCTCACAATATGGTCCCAAGCTGCTCCTTCATCTGGTGCCCAGGAGCTGAGTGGACTGAGCAGCACAGCAAAGACCCTGGCCACTGCTCACACTGGGGACTCTAGCCTGAGGAGTGGGCAGGAAACAGCAGGTGGCTGCTCCTCCTCTCCCTTCCTAGTTTATGGGAGGAGCAGGAGCAGCTAACCCCCATGCCTTCTCCAGGCCTAGGTCTAGGGAAGGCACAGGAGCCTTTCCTCACCATTCAACTGCTTCCAAAACTGGGAGAGGGCAAACATCAGCTGTTCCCCTCAAATTCCCAAAGCTGGGGTGACCCCAGTCTCAGAAGATGCAGAAAACATTTTCCTGCTGCTCAACTCCTCCTGATCCCCAGAAGGAGTCAAGCAGCAGATAAGCATTTAGGCATTCTTTTCCTGGGAGAAACTATGAACGCTTGCACTCATGGCTTCTACCAGGAGAGCTCTGCTTCTCTCAGTAGATACATAACTCCTTATTTGGCCCAAGTCTATCCTATCCATGCAGTGGTCCAATAAAAGATATCACCCACAAAAATCCTTGTCTCTTGCATATTTCCTGGACCATCACGGCCACAACATCACTCCAACACTACCAACTGGAAACAATAGTCAGTCTTTAATAAACATTGCAATATTTAAATAAATGTCCTATGAACTGGATCCTTTCAATTTTTATCAAACTACCTTATAATAGTAATACTTCACACATATATACCATTTTTCATTTTTACAGAGCACCTGACAATTTAGATAACAAATACCAGAAAAATAACAAGTAAAAGAATTTTAAGAAACTTTAAAGAAATTAAAAAAAAGATTAATACCAAATAATTCCAAGTCAAAACTGGCTTCTTCCCATTCGTTCAGTATAACAGCACTTACTAGTGTCACAATAATTTATTTTGAACATTTGCCTCCAATTTTATTCAAGTAGGAAGGATTTCATGTATCTGTCACCTGTGAGACAAAGACAGGAATATATGGAAAACTTGTAAACTACCCCCTACCCTCAACACACTTGTCAATTAACAAACAAGAACTGCTAAAAACCTTTTTTATATTTAAATCATCTTGGTACTTTTTTCTTCTTTCAAACACCGTGGAGGTAGAGCAAGGATTTTCTGCTACATTTAGTTAGGAGCAAATTTTTAAAAGAAGTTATAAACCCCTGAACAAAATGTATCAAGTCCATGTCAACCTTTCCATGAATTCAGCAGTGCAAAACATGCCACTATATAATGTTGGTAAAATGAATGGATTTCTCCTCTGGCTGGGAAATTCTCAAGAAGCATCTTGTCTCCCACATAAAAGGGTTATTTATTATAGCAGTTAATACAGTCAGGAAACAACGTGATGGCCTCATGTTAAAAAAAAAAAGAAAAAAGTCAGCATCAAAACAAGGCCTGGCCCTTGGTTGAGTGAGCTCATGGCACTTTTCACTCCATTTCTGTTTTATAGTATGTTGCTATTTCCCCTCCTCCCCTAACTTTTCGCAAAAGTATGTTGCTGTGGCCAATATGTGGCACAGCTTAAGTGCTTACTTGCTCTCTTTCCCCTCCTCCCCAAATTTCCACAAAACACATGGTTTTAATTATACACTGTATTATACACAAACGCCACATGAGAAGGCTGTGCTAACTCCGGCATCTCCATGCTTGTAGGAGCTGAACTTGCAGTCACACTATCCAGCCTGCAGGATTTCTATTGGAGATGGACAAGCCTTGGCAGGGCTGGGTGGGGGGGTGAGTGACAATCTGAATATCCGGCTTCTGCTTACCGAGGAAAAAAATTGCAACAACAAAGAGGGGGGGGGGGGGGGAGAGACAGGGAGGTGCATCTTACACAGGCCGATTTGCTGTCCATTGGTAATGCAGGCCAGTGCCAACCAAGTACAGCTAAAAGCCCCCCTTCATATGGGGGCCACTGAGTGCACATCAAGTGATTACAGGGGACAACTAAAGAAGAAAACAGTGACGGAAGTGAAGGTTCAAAAGGAGCGCAGCGAGGGACGGGGTGTTAAATTTTATTTACATTTTCTGTATTCCAAGCCAAATTAGCCAAAACAAATTCCAAATCTGAGAGTTAGTCCAAAACCATAAGTGGCCCTACTACCGGCAAACATCCTCCACCCCCATGTGGGGCTTCAGATGTTCCCAAAACCTTTGGTGGACATCCTGCTTGCAGGCCGAAGCCTGGAGGCTTGGGGTTTGATGCCCCCCATCCCGAGTTTTGCTTGCCCTTAGCCGTAAGGTCCCAGGAGCAAGCTAGGGAGGAGTCTCTCAAGGTTAACTATGCATTACCTATGCAGGTACTATCCCATGCCAGCAGAGCCGTCTTCCCTGGGTGCAACTAGGAAGATGAGCGAGCATGCCACACAGCACCCACTGGCCCAAGGGGCTGGCCCAGAGACACGGCCATCGGAGGGATAGGACAACAGCCCCACAGTCGCCAGGAGACCCCGGGCCGGAGCCCCACTCCTGTTCAAGCCGATCTCTAGTGTGTCCCATGCTGGATGACGACTGTCCTGTCACTGAGTGGCAGCACATACTCTCCTGGCTCTTTCCTAAAGTCCCCTCAGCTGCTTGGCACCAGCAGCTTGGCAGGTCCCTGCTGCTCTTGTTTTCTCTCCGAGCCTGACTTCTTTCCTCCCGCCGCCCGCCGCGCCGGGGGCAGGGAGGCGGCTCCCGCCGCCCGCCTCACCCCACACACAAAATCCCTTCCTAGGAGCTGCCAGGGACAGAAAGGCTCCGGCGATGCTTTGTCCCGGCGCGTCTCAGGAAACAGAGCAACCCCCCGACAAGAGGCGCACGGGACAGGAGAGGAGGGAAAGACCCTTCGCGGGGTGGACTGAGCTGGCCGGGGGTGGGGGGAAAGGCGCCTCGCAGCCAGGGAAAGGGACCCCCCCGGCGCACACACACGGGTCCGCCCCGACGCGGGTGCACGCCCCGGCCCGGCCCGCACCTTTTGCTGAGCGGCCGGACCCGCACGGCCACCTTGACGTTCGCCATGTCCCGCCTCAGCCCAAAGGAGAGAAGCCGCCGCCCGCGCCCGGCTCCGCATCCCAGCCCCGCAGCGCCCCGCGGAGAGCAAGGGAGGGGCGTCCCCGCCCGGCCCCGGAGGAGGAGGGCCCTGTCGCGCCCCGCCTGAGGGGAGGGGGTTGCTGCTCCGCCCGCGCCGGGGACGCCGCAAACTTACTTGCGACACAAGAGACACCTCGCCCCCTTCGGCTTCCGGCCCACCCCTTCCCCGGGCCTCTTCGTGACCGCCCCTTGCCCTTCCTTAGGTTCCCGGGGAACCGGGCGCAGGCCTATTTGTGACCTTTCAAAACATAGGCACGGCCCAACGAGTTTTTTACTAGTGTCCCTCAGGCGGGGAGGCTACAGGGAAAGGGGCCAACAGGTGCAGAGTCTAAAAGGGGTGCTGGGGGGAGGGGGCTGACCCCCGCATAAGAGACGAGACCCCCGCTGTAAGATTTGAAAAATCAAACCTGGCGGGGCTCGAGTCCATGGGATTGCTCCATCACGTAGGTGGACTTGTTAATCAATGAGCCGGTTTAACGTAGTGTTAAACCCCACCCAAGGGTCGAAATGTGATTCCAACCCTGAGCAGATTCCCTGGGACAAATGACAGCAGCGGGGACCGGGGACCAAGGCGCTGGCAAGCAGGCATCCAGCTCTCAAGTTGCGGCCACAGCCCAGCTCTGATAAGATTCAAGGACTGTTGTGGATGGCAGCTTGTCTTGGACCAGCTGTGTAGTTGGGAGGGATGGAGACAAGCTTTGAGGTACCAAGTACCTTTCCTCAGGTCATGACTATACCGTTGATGCAATAAAAAAAAAAAAATGATCACCCGTAAACATCTTTACCTCTTGCATTTTACCTGGACCATCGCTGCCAACCAGGGGTGGATCCAGGATTTTACAAATGGAGGGGTGCAGGTGATGAGGGGCATCATCACCTATAACCCAACACATATTTTTTCTTCACATAAGAAAGAAACCACTAATACACTAGGGGCTTAGGGCTGGATTATTCAATTTTAAGATGGAGTCCAAAAACAAATTTAACTTTATGGGAATGAGTTAAAAACAGTGTGCAGGGCTTTGAAATAGGAGCTACATTACTAGGAATAGATCAAACAGACAGCAGGGATGCAAAAAAAAAAAAAAAGAGGCTAGTTTGATTAGTGGAACATCAAGAGCATTAAAAAGGAGAGAGGGTCATTCAAACACCTGTGGAATTAATAGTTGAGAGGGAATCAGGTAGATTTTAATGAGCTGTGAAGTCAATTGACTCCCTTGCTGCTGCTTGAACAGAAATACTGCTGCCACTGTGGGAAGTTGTTTTAAACTTGGCTGAAACAGGATTCAAAGGGGGGTGCAACTGCACCAGTCCACCCCACACCTCCCATCCACTCCTGACTCCAACAGTACCACAGACAATGGTAGAGTCCTTCCCACAGGCTGCTGACATGACAGAGGCTTTCACTTCTGGCTGCTGCTGCATGCCAGTTTGAACTGTGCTTATGATCAAGCATGTTAATTTACAAAAATTATTATTCACCCTCAGTGGTTTCCTTATAAAGTATGTCATGTTTGGGAATCAAAATTACCAACCCAGTCCTGTATCCAAAACCTGACTGCAGCTAACTGAGGGAATAGATCCCTCAAATACACCCTCTTCCTTTCAAGCAGTGGGGACCAACCTTTTGGGCAGGTGCCACAAATTAGCCCCATACCAGCTCTTGAGTGCCACTCTCATTTGCTTCCCCTGCCTGATTTGCTGCTCTGTGTTCTGCATCCTGCCCTGCGCTCTCTGCCTGATCTGCTGTGCCTCCTGTCCTCTCAACTAATCTGCCAAATGCTACACAAAGAGGCTGTCTGTGCCACTTGCGGCACAGGCACCACAGGTGGGCCACCCCTGCTCTAAAGCATCAGCTACTTGCCACTATCAGAGACAGGATACTGGACTAGGTGGATCTTTGAACTGAAGCTGTATGGCAGCAGCTAGCCATGTTAGTCTGTAGCCATGTAGAAGGCAGGGTAGATTTGCACCTTATAGAGCAGGGGTGGGCAATTATTTTGGGCGGAGGGCCGCTTACTGAGTTTTGGCAAGCCATCGAGGGCCACATGACAGGCAGCCAGGGGCAGATAAATATTAATTTTCTAAATTTTTTAGGGCTCCCATGGGCCAAATGGAATGGAGTAACCAAAGTATAGAGTAACCAGTTTTATATATCCATAGTGTTAAAAACATCCTGCCCTGTTGTGCTCTTTTTCAGTTCTTTGCAATAAAATAATTACTCTATTATTTTTCTGTAGTTAAAAATCAAGTGAAAACTAAGAGCTGACATTTTCTAAGGGCTGCCTCAATTCTAGTGAGGGGTGCCTTGAGTCTAAAAAGATTGAAATCCACTGGCCTAGGCCATGGCCTGGTGATTAGGACACTTTACTAGGAAGTAGGTTCAAACCAAGCAAGTACCCTAATCACTAAGCTTTTAAGCTAAAAGATAGAAAGGCCACTATCCTCCTGTTCTCTCTCATGTACTAGTGAGGCTTCCTCAAAATTAGTTAATATCTAAAATCTGTGCAAGTGGTCTGAATTGCCACTTGCACAGCTAAAGTGGGCTATGTAAGTACAACTTGCCCATCTAAAGGCAGAATACGATTTGGGCTTTTATTTGCATACAGTCTGTTAATGTAGTCACTCATTCACCTTCTGGAGAGAGAGAAAGAGAGCATGTGCTCACACACGCACACATGTGGGAGCTTATGTACACATATATGAATATTTTTGCTATTTAAAACTTTTCTCCAGGAACACTATATTTAAATTCCAAGGTGATATCATGCTTGATATCAACAAGAGTGATCAGTCATGTATTTATTGCATATTTATAAGATTTTTGTTCTCAGTTCAAACAAATTACACATGTAATTGTTTTGTCATTTAACTGCAATACAATTCTATTCACAGTGTAAATATGCATACATTCTCTAACTGAAGTTTCTCTCCTAAGCGCACTGCCACAGACTCCTGAGGCCTAAAAAGCACCTCTTAAAAACTGTTAAACCTAATTAAAGAGTTAATATCACAATACAGACAATTCACTGTAGAGGTCTATATGTCTGCCATACAGGTTCCACAGGTTTTTCTGGCTCATCATCCAAACAAGAGATTTAAAACTGACCATCCAACCAGCACTTGTCATTTTCTGCACTATCCTTATCCTTGAACATATGGATGAGTTAGTGTGTAAATGCCAGTGAAAAATAGGAAAATACAGCATTACTGCTTTATGACCCATTGTCCTTTCACCAATAATTGGGAAAAGCCAAATAACTGATGTAATCATTTGTATATGGAATGAATATAGACCATTTTATGTATTTAATAATTATTGCTGTAAATGAAGAACAGCCCATAACTGTTTTCAGGATTTTCAGAATTAAAATAAAATACATTTTTTACCCCAAACTACCAGCCAATGCACCAGTACAGAATGAATTAGAGGGAAACAACAGGTCTGTAGTGGAAGCACAATACTGGAGTCAGGAAACATGGACTCTGTGCCTCTCTCTGGGGCAGACTAACAGTGTGACTTCAGGGCAGATCACAAACTTGTAACAAAATCTTGGCTTAATGGCAGTCAATGTAACTTTTTCCATTGATTTCAGTGGGGATAGGATTTGGCTTGCTATGCCTATTTCATTTATGAAATGGCAGTAAACCCACCTACCTCAGACACTGTGAGACTTTAGGCTCCAACACTGCATTGAAATAAAAGCCAGAAGCACCACCAACTCCAATGCACATAAACAGGATGACATGCCTTACCTGAATAAGCAAGTCAGTATATTTGGCTTTCTCTTTCCAGATCTACACTCAAAGTCACAGAAAATGTCAAGAGAGAAGTAGCTAGCTGTGTTATTCTGAAGTCAGACAGAAGTCAGGGTAGATATGCACCTTATAGACTAACTTGTCAGGTTGCCAAATTTCCAGACCTGTGGGGAGCCCCACTGGCTGGATCTGCAATGTGGAGCTGTTATTGGGCTCATGGCGCCAGAAATTTGGTGGCAGAAGTGGTCTCCCAGGCCAGAACTCTGGGAGTCAGGTGTGCCTTTGAGACAGTCCCAGGGTGTCCTTATGCTTTAAGGGGTGCCCTTCGGTACCAAGTCCCTCTCTGCCATCTGCTTCTGACCACTGAGAACAGACTGAGATGCTCCAAAGGTCATCTCCCAGACCAAAGACTCTTCAGCTTTATGCGCCTCACCTAGGTCTTGCCAGGTCTTAGCAGAAGGGATTTTGACAGCTAGAAGAATCATACTCTTGTCCAGTCACATACTCAGGTATGATGGAGTCCCGTCCCCACCCCCGTTCCCTCTTCCCCCCTTCCTTGGAAGAGGCCTGCCTGTATGGTCAAATCATGCTTACCCACTTACTGTAGTAAGTTATAAAAGATATAAAAAGGATTTAATATGAAACCCAAGAGCAAACATAAGAAGTCAGTAACTATATGCTGAGATATAGACAGAGATATAAGAATAAACAAAAAAAAATGAGACTATCAGAACAATAATCTGATTTTACCTTGCATCTTAAACCTAAGAATACAGCCCCTACTTAACTCAATGGGTTAGAAAACAGCTCTGGCTCTGGCCTTCCTGTCAAGACATGCTGCAGCTTTTCCTGGCAGCCTTTCACACAGCCCACTGGCAGAGGGACCAAAGCCATTCCTTATGCCAGGGAACAAACTATAGACAAACGCTGGCAAGGCTTAAATATAGTTTCTTATCTGGCTATTAGCATAAATTTTCCATTGGATTATTGGGGAGCCCAAACTAAGCATATAACTTCCTGCCTCACAAGCAGAGCTGGCCTTAGGGAAAATGGCACCCTGTGGCACTGCTGCAGGCAGAGACAGGTGGGCAGAAATGCAGTCTGGCGGGGAGGTGGAGCAGCATTGTGCTGCTGCTTGCACTGTCTGGCCCAGCTCCTCCTAAGCAGCAACTGGGGGAAGTGGGGCAGGCTGGGCTGGGCAGCGCTCTTCCTGCAGGGGATAGAGGGAGAGAACACTGCTGTGAGCGCAAGCTGCTCAGATGGGCATGTGTGTGCATGCGTCTGTGTGTTGTGCCCCCTAACTACAGTGCCCTGAGTGGTTGCCCATGTCACC